GTTTGATTTAATTGTTTTGGGTTGGTGAAAATTGAGTTAGAAATGAAAAAAAATCGACAACCTTGTGTCTTTGAAAATGGCATATCTTCAATGGGATCTTATGATTGGATTTAGGGCTTGAAAAATTGAGGTATTTTTAGGGTTTTATGATCTGGAATAGTCCCATATGGTTTTATGCTACTAACCAGAAGAGTAGAATTTAATGATGTTTAACTGTTTTAGAAAAGGGCAAGGATTGTTTACTGGGATATAGATTAAAGATCAACAGAATGTTTGATGCGATCATTTCTGTTTCTGACAAGTTTTACATATCAAATGTTCGTGATGGTTACAGCAACCAAGGCCAGTTTCGTGTACTTCCTGCGATTCAAATGGGCATGTTGAATGCCAGTGGTGTAGGGGTACAGGGTTCTTCATTCTTGGCGATAACATGCTCTGCCAAGTTCCTTCCAGAAATACCACTTGTGTTATTTGTGCTGGAAAGGTACGTTAAAATGTTGGCAAATTTATGGATGTTCAAGTGTCATGAGGACATAATTCTTAAAGATAAAGTAGAACTACAAGTTAACATTATATGCATTTTGTAACTTTGATTCTTTTTCAGGGATCAATGCGCTGCTCTGATTGTAAAGGAACTGGCTTTCGTGCCAAGTGGTTGGGGGAGCCTCTGATCTCCAAGTAACAGCATTGTAATGCAGTTGTCAGGAAGTTAAAGCTACCGAACAGGTGCAGGAAATATTGCAAGGCTTCTTCTTATTCAAGTTCTGATTTATTCTCCTTTTCTGTTTTGGAATTTATACAAGTGATTACATTAACTTCATAGTACAACTCATACCTGTATTTGTCATATTTATCCAACAAATCAGTCCATGTATTGGATTAAATTCTAATGAAGTAAACATTTAACTTTTTTCGATTTGATATATCATCATTGATTCACAAGATGTTATGCAGGTTGCATCAGGCGGTGCCAAAAATGTTACACTATCGTAGTTTAAAGATGTCTGATTCACCGAAAACGCTTTGAATTTCTGTCTATGTTAGGGACAGTATGCACTATTGGGCATTGTAGCTGTTCTCTTCTATTATTGTTGCTTGGTCTGTCATTTCTTCGAAGGAAATGGAAAGCATTACAATTGATATTCCAGCACTATGCTGTCGACGTGTTGAAATATGCACCCCATAACGAACCTGACAATCATTGTCTAGGCAGTGCCTGATCCTGAAGTTCAATGGAGCTTGAGCAAAAAAAAAAATCAAGTCCACTGAAGTTCTAAAAAGCATAACGTCCACAGTAGGAGTTAAGGCACTCTCTTTTCAACCCAAGATCCTGCTTCTTTGTCTAAACATGCATTCAAGCCTAGAAAGAAACGTGGAAATGATGTTGAAGGTTAGGTTTATAATCCCAAGCTCATTCGGACCAGCTTATCCATCTAGGGTTTATGAAGAAAATATCAGTTTAGTGATCGTGTAAATGCCGGCTATGTTATCTAACATCGAAAACTTATGCATATAAAAAGTGTGAAGGAGAATAAACTTGAGATTTGAGCTGCAGTATGTTGATACAGCCATGCTGTTTTAACAGAGGAGCGTTTTGATACAAACAAGCTGTTTTTACAAACACAAAGTGAAGAACATATTGTCATCTTTGGTAGTGGCTCGAGTTGAGAATCGTTCACTGCCACATTATCAGCAAACAGAAACCTGAAGGCATTACATGCAAAATTTCAACAGTGTTACATATGGCAGCAGACAGAAATCTGCCCCTAGATTCCTAAACTGACTGTACTAAGTTATCAGCGAAGCTAAAGGAACTGTACTCATCACAGCCCAGCACATACCATGTTTTGGAGGCAGAATGGTCCACTAAACGTTGCTACGAAGATAACAATTTGCAAATGGAAATGGTTCCAGGTTGATATGCATGTCATGATCGCCAATTTTCATTACTTTTTGAATTTTAACTTTCTCCGTCACCAATGACCAAACAAGCATTTTATGTAAGAAAGCATTATGCCTTCTCAAGTAAATATTTCAGCAAAATTCAGTTCTTCTGCAGATTCTTACCTGCTCTTGTTCTAACCTGAGGCGTCCACTCATCGATAATCTGAAAGAAGATAGAGATCAAAGACTTAGTAAGGTTGCCTTCCCGAGGGTCGGTATACCCACGGCATTAGTCGGGTCTCGGCCAGATACCCGGAGCTAATTCAAAATTAAACTTGTTTTTAGCAATAACAGGAAAATTTGAACGAATCAAGTAATCTTTTTCTGTTCAATAGTTATCCCAAATCGATCTTTCTTGGGATCACAAATTCTTAGCTCGAGTGGGATTCTTCGTGTTTTTCAAGCTAGATTCGTTTATGTTATGCTTGTTTTTCGCGTAAAAGCTTTTGTTTCATTGTTGATGCGTACCCTTTTGAAAAGTTTGGATCTTGTCGAGTTTAACTAGTTGAGTTTCAGGGTACAATAGATTATTATCCGTGGCATGCAGTGAGATTAAATTAACTTTTTTAAAAAATATTTAGGTATTGGAAGCATTTTTTTTTAAATGTAATAATTATGCTCTTAATCAATTAAATAAAATAGTTTTATATGAACAATATAAAAAAAGCAACAATAATAAACAAGAATACACATATATACAATAACTTGAGAAAAAAAACATTTATTCAAGAACAAAAGATAATAATGTTTATTTTTAGTCAATTAAATATTAAGGATAAAATACAATTAAAAAAATAAAAAGGTGGTATGAGCCAACTTAAGTTAGCACAATAAACATGTAATCTAAATATTAAAGGTACCAATTTTCATTACTCTTTGTATTTTAACTTTCTCCGTCACCAATGGCCAAACAAGCATTTTATGTAAGAAAGCATTATGCCTTCTCAAGTAAATATTTCAGCAAAATCCAGTTCTTCTGCAGATTCTTACCTGTTCTTGTTCTAACCCGAGGCGAACAGGAAAATTTGAACGAGTCAAGTAATCTTTTTCTGTTCAATAGTTATCCCAAATCGATCTTTCTTGGGATTACAAATTCTTAGCTCGAGTGGGATTCTTCGTGTTTTTCAAGCTAGATTCGTTTATGTCGTGCTTGTTTTTCGCGTAAAAGCTTTTGTTTCATTGTTGATGCGTACCCTTTTGAAAAGTTTGGATCTTGTCGAGTTTAACTAGTTGAGTTTCAGGGTACAATAGATTATTATCCGTGGCATGCAGTGAGATTAAATTAACTTTTTTAAAAAATATTTAGGTATTGGAAGCATTTTTTTTTTCAATGTAATAATTATGCTCTTGATCAATTAAATAAAATAGTTTTATATGAACAATATAAAAAAAGCAACAATAATAAACAAGAATACACATATATACAATAACATGAGAAAAAAACATTTATTCAAGAACAAAAGATAATATTGTTTATTTTTTAGTCAATTAAATATTAAGGATAAAATACAATAAAAAAAATAAAAAAAAATGGTGTGAGCCAACTCAAGTTAGCATAATAAACATGTAATCTAAATATTAAAGGTGGATCAGTTTGAATTAACTTGATAAATTAATGTTCTAGGTCATAAAGTAGGGATATTTCGATAGAAACAAATTAAAAAAATATAAAGCTATTTAAAAAAAATAATGTCGAACAATGATATAAAAAAATAAATAAAAAAGATATTAACCTCTATTAATTCTCAACCTTGTGACTCAAATTATTAGATTGGAAGTACTATATATATAAAAAAATCATTCAATCTCTATAAAATAAAACGTTAAAGGTTGAAATTGAAAACAAAATTGCAAAATAAATCACTAAAATAAAAAAATAGTGATTAAAAAAATAAAGGTTAAAATCAAAATAAAAAATAAATTAAGGGGAAAAAATAAATTTTCACTTTAAGAGATAAATTGAAAAGAAGAAAAAAATTAATTAAAACAATAAAAGAATAAAGATCAAAATAAAAAAAAAACAATACATTGTCATTTTGGATTGAATGATGAAATTAAAACAATAAAACTTTTACAAAAAGATTTAAGAAAAACAAAAACATATCATAAGAATACGAATAAAACTGAAAATATGAATTCATGATAAAAAATTTAAACATGTAGAATTTCTCATCTTGTTTTTTAAATAAAAACATTTTAAATGTAAATTGAAAAATTTATGCATACATTGAATTAAATAAATCACTAACTATTGTGTAAATAAATAAAAATAATAATTAATGATAAATAAAAATGTAATTGAAAAAATTAAAAAATAAATACAGATCAAGATATTTAATATTGCAACATGGGTAATTCACGTGGTTGTGTTTAATATTTTTTTTATTAAAATCATCTTGTAATCAATGCACATAAAATTTATTGAATAAAATTAAAAAAATAAATACTATGCAAAATCATACATATAAAAAATATTATAAAAAAATATTTAATCTATAAAAAATATAAAAAAATTACATATAAATCATACTAACCTTCTAAAAAATTAAACACATCTAGTATAATAAAAAAAATAAACACTATTAAAAAAGCTAAATAAATCAAAATAATCACCTAAAATAGTATTAATTAAAACAAAAAATTTTAAATTATTTTAAAAAACATATAAAAAAATATTAATTAAAAAAATAAAAAATAAAAAAATCATGTCTAGAAACTATTTGAAAATATAGTTCGGTTGCTTTTTAAAATAGTTTTTATTTGAAAATAAATTAATATGTTTTTTTTTTTAAAAAATTATTTTTAATATTAACCCTTTAAAATAATTTAAAAATTAATTTAAATTTAAATTTAAATAAATTATTTTTAATTTTTTAAAATATTAATTTAATTTAAAATAAAAATAAATTATTTTTAATTTTTTAAAATATAAAAATAAAAAGAGTTTATGGGTAGACATTAAAGCGGAATGAGATTCTTTCCCTTGACGCTTGATATCGGCACTTAAAAATATTTTTTAATGTTTTTTAAATAAAAAATAAATTAAAAAATAATCATCGCCACAATGACAAACGGGCTCGCTGCTGTAATTTCCCCCTCCCTCGTCCATTCTCCTCTCTCTCCTTTAATATAGACTCCGCACCAAAAAAATGGAAATATCAGTAGAAATGTCTTTGAATGAGCTACCAGAAGGGTGCATAGCTAATGCACTGTCGTTTACAACTCCTCAGGACGTTGGCCGGCTCTCGGTTGTCTCTCCCATGTTCATGTTGGCCGCCGTATCCGATGTTGTTTGGGAGAGGTTCCTTCCTAGAGATCTTGAATCTATTCTATCCACCTCCCCTGATGGTTCTTGCCTGATGGCATCTGCGGCTTCCAGAAAGGAACTGTATTTTAGCCTCTGTGAGAATCCAGTGCTTGTTGATAATGGGAGGAAGGTAAATTTTTCTTCTTTTCTAATTAAATTCCTTTCCTTTGAATTTTTTTATTGACCCTTTTGTGTTTTCTTGTTTTAAATATCATTTGATTGACTGGATTGCTTTTTATTTGATCAAAATGTCTTTTCTTTTTTATCCAATTGACCAGTTGACTTGTTGATTTTCATTGATGAAGTTTGCTGAAGTCTTTGTTGGATCCATCAAGAGTATTTTGTTTGATAGTAATGGAAAGGGAATTGGATTTTCTGTAAATATAATCTCTTATCCTGGTTAGAGATGTTGGGAAAAAGGCTGTTACATTGGAGAAAAAGTAGTTTTGCCTCTTGTCCAGTCCCTTGTCCCAAAACGTATGTGACTGATTTGATTTTCTTAAGCAGCAAAACCTATGTGACTGATTTGATTTTCTTAAGCAGTGGATCTTTATGGTTTTATTAGGAATAATAATTTGTCTAAAGTATCCCGCCTTTTGTATTGCATAGAGCTTCTCATTGGAAAAAAAGAGTGGGAAGAAATGTTACATGCTTTCTGCAAGGGACCTCTTGATTACATGGGGTGATTCTCCTCAGTATTGGACATGGAATTCTGACCCCACATCTAGGTTTTTCTTTTCTTTCTTTTTTTTTTTAAAGTTTTTTCTTCTTAGTTTTCTGTTTTTGTGATTGGGATATGTAAATGTTGATGGTTCACCCACAGATTTCCAGAAGTAGCTGAGCTTATTTCGGTGTGCTGGCTTGAAATCCGTGGCAAAATCAATACTAGCATGCTATCACCCGCAACGTTGTACACAGCATACCTTGTGTTAAAGCTTTCCATAGACATTCACAATTATGGATTGGATGACCAGCCAGTTGCGGTTGCAATGAAACTGGATGGAGAAGAAAGTTATACACGGACTGTTAGCTGGAGTGCAGAAAGAAGGCCGGGGCAGGTACCCTGTAATGCGAGACGGCTGTTTTCTTTATTTAGCTTTAGCCGCAGAAGATCTGTATCTACTGGAGAAAGTGATGGACATTATCCACGGGACAGAGGAGATGGGTGGTTGGAGATTGAACTAGGTGAGTTCTTTACCAAGGAAGGTAAAGATGAAGAGCTGGGAATTAGAGTTTTTGATGGCACTACTCATTGGAAACGTGGGTTGATTGTTGAAGGGATCGAGATTAGACCAAAACAGGGTAACTGGATGAGCAACTGTTTTCATATTCTAGTAATCATGTCTACTTTTTTCACATCTGTAGTGCGTAGATTAAGGTTGGTATCTTGATTGCTTCACTATCAAGAGCCTTTGCAGCTGGTCTAGTGCGCACACAGCTATGTAGGAGGATGCAGATAGCATTTGAGTAACTTTTATCTTTTATCTACTTAATATGTAATTGTTTAGTGATCATAGATGTTGGATCTCATGTTTATGATGTTCACTTCATTTTAAATTATCATCTTTCAACAAATGAGAAATTGCTTGATGTCATTTGTTTCTGTCTCAGGTGCAAGAGGAGCTAGTCCAAGCAGTTAAAGATGCACAGTAAATGGACTTCATCTGAAGTGGCATGTTTAATACTAGAAGCCGACAAAGTTTCCAACCATACTGTTGATGCTGAAACTAGAACCACAAAGGGAGCAAAATTGTATTGTTGAAACAATGTTATCTGTTGTCTTTCTTCAAAACTATCCATTGTGTATGTGGTTTAAATCCAAAAGGTATTAAATTGAATGGGCCATTGCTTTGCTGGGATCTCTGTAGTCTAGCTGAGGTTTCAAACACAATCTTTTTTTCACGGAAAGCAATCTAGTGAATTCAAATAAAAAGAAGTTACTATAAACTTATTCTTGCTATTTTGCCTGTTGACTCTTCATAGCCTGGTAATATTTCTGGCCCTGGAGAATTTTGTAGCATCTGTACCTGCCATATTTTCAAATGCTCTGATGCCTGATTTTATTGATCAAAATGATCGCAACTCATATTGGAATTGTACTTGCTCAAGTGCTGTATAACCTTAACCGGTAACTGCTTAATGAGATCAAACCTGAATAACTTGACATGACAGGCTTATTGGATCACTTCTAGGGAAAGAAAGATGCTCGGAAAATAGAAAGAGCTTCAGAGGACCAGTACCTGTATCATTTTTGAGTGCTTTTGAACTTTAGCTGCCTGATTTGCTTAACATGGTCTCAACTCATGAACTATCCATGGAATCTACGAAGCTTTGAGAGTTTAGTTAGACTCAATTTGATCAAACTATGCTTCAATATGCATGAAAGCATTCATACGGCGTTTCCCATATTTTATCATTTCAAATGTCTAATTATTATATAATTGATTTTGATTTTTATTTTTCAAGCATTGACCGGATTTGATCAATCTTGGTACCCCTAATAAGATTCCCTAATCAGGGTCGACACATGTACCCAGATTCAGGCCAGCCTCTGAATTCATCATGGTTTGGGACCGGTTCTTTCCCAGTGATCTTGAATCTATTCTATCCAATTCCCCTGATGGCTCTCTGCTGTTGAAGCGTGTAACTTCCCAAAAACAACTGTTCTTCAGCCTCTGTGACAATCCAGTCACCTTTGATAATGGGAAAAAGGTAAATTTCATTTTATTAATTCATAAATTGCCTAACAATGGTCATAAGAGGAAAAAAATTCTAATAGCTTGCTGCTTTTGCATTGAGTAGAGCTTTTCATTGGATAAAAAGAATGGGAAGAAAGGTTACAGGCTTTCGGCAGGGGATCTGGGAATTGCATGGAGTGATAATCAGGAATATGGGGAATGGATTTTCTTATCCTGGATCAAGTTTTCTCTGCTTTCACTTATATGTTTTCTGTTTTCTTCTGTTGTAGTTCTGATACAATTTTATGATTTTGGATGCCATAGATTTGCAGAAGTAGCTGAGCTTCTCTTGGTGTGCTGGCTGGAAATCCGTGGCGAAGTTAACATCAGTATGCCATCCCCATCAACATGTACACAGCATACCTTGTGCTCAAGTTCACTTACAGACCTCACGGGTTTGATGACCAGCAAGTAGAAGTCACTATGGGACTTGTTGGAGGTGAAACTTCTACTAGAAGTAGTAGTTGGGATTAAGTACGTATAATGGTGGCAAAACTGTAACACAACAAGGTCCATCGGTTCATCTGCACCTACCGGAGTAAGCGATGGATATTTTCCAAAGAGCAGAGGAGATGGATGGTTGGAGATTGAATTAGGTAACTATTAAATATTTATTTATTTCATTTAAAAATTCTAATACCATTTGAATTTTATATTAGATATATAATTTTTTAAAGGATTCCCTTTACTGTAAGGTTTTCCGAAGTGGCGCAGCTTGTTCGGGTTTCTTGGCTTGAAATTGGAGGCAAAATCAATACAAGCATGCTATCCCCGGCAACATTGTACACGGCACACCTTGTCTTCAACTTCTCCATAGCAGCAGCTGGTCCTCAGCTAGTAGCGGCCACAATGGGACTCGTTGGTGCTGAAACTTCTTCCAGACGAACTTTTTGCTGGCAGCGGCCAGAAATGTTTTCGCAGTTGCAATACCGCAATGCAAGAAGGCGTATGTTTGGTTCATCTCCAGCCCGGAATGTAAGAAGGCGTGTGATGGGCTCATATGCAGCTGAAGCAAAAAGGGGTGGAAATTATCCAAAGGGAAGAGGAGATGGAGGGCTGGAGATTGAATTGGGTGAGTTCTTTACCAAGGAAGGGGAAGAAGAAGCTCTCGAGATGAGAGTTCTTGAAAATATTGGTATTTGGAAACAAGGGTTGGTTGTTGAAGGCATTGAGATTAGACCGAAAGAGGAAAGAGGGTAACTACACGAGCAAATTAGTGTCTTTAGATGCGTAGACGAGGAGATAAATAAAAATACTTTAAAAAATTATTGTTATTATGTGCTTGAACACTGTTGTAATGACTATGAGAACTCGATCAATCTAAAGACAGCCCTAATATCCCTTTATATGATAATGTTGGTGGAACTCACTTATCTTGGAATCCAGTTCTTAAAGCCGGGACTAAACATATAGAAATTAATTTTCATTTTGTTAGAGAATAGGTAGCAAATGGAAGCATTAGAGTACAGTTCATCTCTAGCAAATATCAAATTGCTGATATATTTTTGAAGCCTCTTGCCAGTGCTCGTTTTTCACTTCTCAGGAACAAGCTTTGCATTTTGTCAAGCAACGCTAAGTGAGTTCTTAGATATCTACTTTCAAGAGTGTTCTGACTTTTGTTTCTATCAGTACGGGTTCAGACAACATATTTGTCAGTGTACTGCCCATTCTCTGAGTGGTTACAAAGATCCTCCACCCTGGAGACTAGCTAGCACATGGCTATTACGAAGACCACATGGCACACAGCTACAATCCAAGAAGTGAACCGTGTAACGGGTGGCCACGGCGGCTCTGCCGCGTCGTCCATCTTAGATACTCCACAGCCAAAAGTTATAAAGTTACCGCCCCTGACTCGGATCTCATTTTTCTATATCAATCATTTTGCTAATCCCAAGTAATTAAATTATATTAATATTGCTTTTAAGTATTAAGTATTCGTTATTTGAATTGTATAAACCACTTTGCTTTTTTTTTTTTTTATATATCATTTTATATTTAAATTTTACGAGAAAAAGTATAATTTATTCTTATATTTTTCTTTCTTCACCTTTTGATCTATTCATTTTATTATATATAATATATAATAGTTATTATATTAAAAAATAATATAAATAAATCTCACTTAATATTGTAAGTTATTGAGTTGAGATAATTTTTTAATTTTACTTAATATTTTAAGTTATTGAGTTGAGATAATTTTTTAATATGATATTATAATTTTGATAACTAAACATTCACGAGTTTAAATATCACCATTTCTATTTAATTAATAAAAATTAAGTACAAAGTAAAATGAATATGTGAGACTTCATCAAACAACTTAAAATATTAGATTGAGATTCCTAATAGTAAAATCAAACTATAAATTAATAGATTTCTTTTAATAAATTCAAAATAACATTATTTTTTTAATTAATAAATTTTTATTAGATTTAAACTAGTTATCGCTTATTAACTTGAATTTTTGTCTGGGTTATATAAGCTAATTTTTCCTTTTAATTTTTTAAACTTAAATTGATTTAGATCGTAGATTAACCTCTCAGGCCAATTTATGTTTAATAAAAATATTATATATTTTAATTAAATTAATAAAAGTGGAGAAATTTTATAATGTTCATGAAATAGAAAAAAATAGATATAATTAGAAATGTGAAATCTTATGTGAAGATATTCTAATCATTATAGATGGTTTATTAATTTTATTTTATTTTTTCTCTTAGTATTTCTTTCTTTCTTTAAGATGCGCCATAAAAAATAACTAATACAAGATAACTACTCTCTAGTTCGAAAATGCCATGTTACAAACTTAAATTCAATTTGATTTATATTAAAAATAAATATGAAAACAATTGTCAACACTACATGCCAAATTTAATTAAAATAAATTAGGTTGGCGTAATTTGACTTTATCATGCGAGGTATTTTTATGAATTTGTCAAAAAAGAAACCTCATAACAAAAATAAATTATAGGATGATTTAAAATATAAAAATAAATGTATTTTAACAAATGAGAACAATTAAAATTCTAAGTTAAACTATATCCAAAATTTAAAAATTAAGAGATTAACTCAAAAAAGACAAGAAACCCAAAAACACCCCACCTAATAAAACCAAAATATTAATTATCCAGTATAATTATTAGCTTAATCCAAACAACAAGTATAAAAAATATACTCATCCCATGTGAAAAATTTGAAAAACAGATTAAATCTTTTCTAAAGCAATAATAAAGAGTTCAACCAGGTAAAAAGAAAAGAAGAAGAAGCTTCTACTTTATCCCATTTATTTAATGGCCGCCAATAAAAATCACATATACTTAACTGCTAAGCTTCCCCACGACGCATGCTGCATTCTCTATAAATTGCACAGTATGCCACCTCAAAAACATGCAAGTCAAACGGCAAGAAAGAGCCTTGGAGAAGAAGGTATGTCGTTGAACGTGCTGCCTGAAGGATGCATAGCCAACGTTTTGGCGTTCACCGGCCCGAGGGATGCTTGTAGGCTGTCCATTGTTTCTTCCTTGTTTAAGTCGGCGGAGGAATCTGATGCTGTGTGGGAAAGGTTTCTTCCTCGTGATTATCAATCTATCATATTTACGTCCGATAGTTATGTTCTGCTGGCTTCTCTTTCTTCCAAGAAACAGCTCTATCTCAGGCTTTGTGAGAAGCCCATAATTATCGACGATGGCAAAAAGGTGACTCTCATGTCAATCTCTTCCTTTTTTTTTTTCCTTATAAATTTAAATATAGTTGAAACAGACATGGGAAGAACAAGTGTTCTTCGAGGATCTTGAAGATGTGACAAGTGGCATCCTCAAACGGTGCATGTTTTATTATTATTTTATTAGGTTGAATATCTACTTGTGTTTAACTTCTTTTTTTTTGGCTTGGAACAGAGCTTTTCATTGGTAAAAAAGAGCGGGAAGAAATGCTACATGCTGTCTGCAAGAGACCTGATGATTGTATGGGGTGACACTCCTACTTATTGGAGATGGAATTCTGATTCTTCTTCCAGGTTGGTTTCTTTTTCTTTGTCTAATGGTGTCGTTCTTCTCATTTATTTTGTGATTGGAAAATTTTTACGACTTTTTTGTTGGATTCTGACAGGTTTGGGGAAGTGGCCGAGCTGATTGGTGTATGTTGGCTTGAAATTCGTGGCAAAATTAATGCAACTATGCTATCTCCAGCAACGTTGTACGCAGCATACCTTGTGTTCAAGCCAAAAGAAGGAGTTTATGGGCTGGATTACCAGCCAGTGGAGGTTGGGGTGGGGCTTGTTGGTAGTGAAAATGGTAAGCGAAATGTGTATTTGGACTCACAGAGAGGTCGAGCACATCGATATCATCTTGTAAGAAGGCGCATTGGGTTGCACAACCGCAGCCGAATTGTGGGGATGCAAGAACCTGTGCCTGCTAGTGAAAACAATGGACAGCATCCAAAGGAAAGGGGAGATGGGTGGCTGGAGATTGAGTTGGGTGAGTTCTTTTGCAAGGAAGGGGAAGATGGAGAACTGGAAATGAGTGTTCAAGAGGTGAAGAGTGGTGATTGGAAAGGTGGGCTGACTGTTGAGGGGATTGAGATTAGGCCAAAAGAAGGTTAATAAATAAAGCCAGTTTTTTTTCCCATTCTATTAGTAATGTCTTTACCTACTCTTTTCGCATGGGTAGCAAGAACTTTTGCTGGTGTTATTTCATAGCTATTATATCTTCTTCTGCAAATTTTCATTTTGATGTTTGCCCAATGATGTTCTTTGGTTATTGTAATAAAAATCTGGTTCATTTTCTTATGTTGAATTTTGTAGTGTTTTTAGCGTTTTGCAAAGTTGTATGTGTTTGCATAAATTGTTCATAAAACCTCATGGCATGAGCTTTTGAATTAGTTTCTAATTAACTTAAAACCTGTGATTCAAACCTCAATATTCCACAAATTTTACAACTCAAGCTCTAAATAAAAGAAGAACGTGTATAAAACCTGTGTGTTTGGAACTGCAATTGGGTACAGGGTACCACCTCGAATTTTTTGAGGTGCTTTATGATTTCTCAGATATACAAATGCTGGATGGTATGCGTTGCTGCCATTTGCACGGATTTCTTCATTCTGAATCTATTTATGTTTTTCATCTGTTCAAAGGTTAGCAATTCACATAATGATTTCATGGAGAAAGTGAATAAAAATATAGATTTTCTCATCATACTGCTGCTTCAACACTTACAAAATGATTGCGTCTGTGAGCGCGCGCCAGATGTACGATTCTCCTGAACTTTTCATCATCAGTAGGATGGTTATGCGACTGTGTTGAATATCATAGGCTGAGGTTTTGTTTTGATTATTAGGCAATGCACAATTGCACCTGCTTGAGGTGTGATGCAGAGTACCCTTTTGGATGTTATAGGCAGAGACTCGCTGAATGCTTTTGCTTGTTCGGAGTGTCTTTGCTCACAGTGATCTTGATGAAGCATTGCATCAATGGTGAATGAAGACCAGAAAGACTCGCTAGCTTCCTAGCTTGAACTAGGCCTTTATTTCTTGCATCTCTTCTAATTTCCTTACGTTTCCTTCTCTTCATTTTAATTTAAAATAATTGAGGGCCTGTGTTTCTCTTCACGTCATACTCCGTGTCCAATTTCATATGGTAATGTTAGCCGCGGAGGGAAGCTGTACCTGAATCATGGGATGATGAAAAAAGAGTAGGGCACTTTTATTTTCACTTGGTGATGATGGAAGCTCTGCGAAGCTTGGTAGAAAGCTATGGCATATGCTGTAACGAGAGCGCGCACTGTTTAGGATTTCTTGAGAGCACAACCTTACAAAGAGGTGAGACATAGCTTCTACGATGATGGAAAATATGGGTTATCACGTGGGATTAGCTGTAGCTGGTGGAGAATGTTGGTCCATTTCCACGAAGCTCCTCCATCCAACAATCAGTTAGATCTTGCCTTGGATCCTCGAAAGGAAAGGATCAAAGAGAATCAGGGGAAGAAGCGAAATAGAGGTCTATCTTAGTGAAGACAATCAATGTGCAACTGAAATACTTGCAACTGGAAATATCTAATTTCTCACTTTATACATGCTGAGGGATACAAATAATGACATAAATCATGGTATGATTTATGCACCTTCCCTCCCATTTGTATATATATATATATATACTTAGGGAAGAGTTGTGTCTGTGAGTGTGAAAAACACAAAGAAAACAAAAGAGAAGTGAGAGCTTGAGTGTAGAGTTGAGTTGAGAAAAGTTTTCTCCTTCTATTTGTTTGTATTGTTTCTTTGAGTGATTAATACAAACCAGTAGCTCCATAGAGTAGGCAAGTTACTGAACCACGTAAATTTGTGTGTGTTTGAATGCTTGAATATCTCAATAATTGGTATTAGAGCTTATTCTTGAAAAAGAGGGGAAATACTTGCAACTGGAAATATCTAATTTCTCACTTTATACATGGTGAAGGATACAAATAATGACATAAATCATGGCATGATTTATGCAATTCCCTCTCATTTGTATATATATATATATATACACTTAGGGAAGAGCTATGTCTGTGAGTGTGAAAAACACAAAGAGAACAAAAGAGAAGTGAGAGCTTGAGTGTAGAGTTGAGTTGAGAAGAGTTTTCTCTTTCTATTTGTTTGTATTGTTTCTTTGAGTGATTAATACAAACCAGTAGCTTCATAGAGTAAGCAAGTTACTGAACCACGTAAATTTATGTGTGTTTAAATGCTTGAATGTCCCAATAATGGGTATTAGAGCCTATCCTTGAAAAAGAAGAGGTTTGATCCAAACTCAAAAATCAAAGTTCTCAAAACGTATTTTTGAACATCCCATCGTGTAGGGAAAGATGAGACGAATCCACTAGTGAAAACCCAGCGAAGCACCGACATCTTGCATGCCCACATGAGCCAACACGGGCCGACAACAGCACTGCCCATGCACACCGACGCGCCCCACGCGCTCCATGCGTCTTCTTTGCCCGAATATCTGCAACTGAACCAGGTTGACCTGACACGTCAGCAAACAATCAGCAACCACATCAGCAATTCTGTATAATCATCATTCACGTCACCTGCCACGTTAGTAAAAGAAACATCAGACAGAAAATCCACTTGGATCTGCCACGTCATCATATATGGAGCCGTTTTGCTTACATGTCAGACACGTCATCATAGCCGCGTTGGCATACTGGGTTTTAATCTAGTGCGATGCACTCCTCCTGACACATAGCTTTATTTGCAGCGTCCAGTGATCCAAAAGTTTGATTGATAAAATCTAAGTCATCCATAGTTTGATTTGGGTGATTTCAATTTTGTTTCTAATATTTTTGGCCATTCTGGACACATCTATAAGGTCAGATTTGGCAGATTCAAATCCAAGATATATTAGAAATGGCATATGAAATAAAGGTTGCTGGAATTAAAAAATTTGATGAAACAGATTTTGAATATTGGAAAATGTAAATTGAAGACTATTTATATGGGAAAAAACTTCATTTTCCTCTATTGGGGAGCAAACCAGAAAATATGTTAAAAGAAGATTGACACATTCTTGATAGATAGGTTTTGGGCATTATCATGCTATCCTTGTAAAGAAAAGTTGCTCATAATGTTACAAAAAAAATAATCTACTGCAAGATTGATGGAAGCTTTGTCCAGGATGTATGAGAAGCCCTCAACAAATAATAAAGTGCACTTGAAGAAGAAGTTGTTCAATTTGAAGATGACAGAAAACACCTCTGTTACACAACATCTCAACAACTTCAATACTATCACAAATAAATTGTCATATGTTGAGATTGAGTTTGATGATAAGATTCGTGCACTTATTTTGCTAGCTTCACTTCCAAGCAGTTGGGAATGTATGAGAATAGTCGTAAGTAACTCAGTCGGAAAATCCAAACTAAAATATAATCATATCCGAGACTTGATTTTAGCTGAAGAAGTGCAAAGAATCAGATGAAAGTTCAAGTTCAGGTTCAGCTTTTAACATCAACACTCGAGAGAGGAGACATGATAGAGGCTTATCTAGAAACAGATCAAAATTAAGGTATAGAAGTAAAAGTAAGTCTGAACCCAAAAAACAGGTTGAATGTTGGAATTGTGGCAAACCTGGTCATTTTATGAGGAATTGCACAAAACCAAAAAAACCTAAAGCTGACTCTACAAACGTTACTACAGAAGAGGTACAAGATGCTTTGATTTTTGATGTACAAAGTCCAATTAATGATTGGATTCTTGATTCTGGTGCTTCATTCCACTGTACACCACACCATGAAATGATGAAAAACTATATTGCTGGAGATCACGGTGTAGTCTATCTAGCCGATGGACAACCAATGGATATTATGGGGATAAGAGATGTGTAAATCAAGACAATGAATGGATCTATATGAAACTTGCAAAATGTAAGGCATGTTCCTGGACTAAAAGGGAAGTTGATCTCAGTCGGACAACTTAATGATAGTGGTCCTTCAATCTTTTTTTTTTGAGATATATGGAAGGTATCAGAGGGAGCAATGATTTTGGCTTGTGGGAAGAAAACTGACACCCTATATATGGCCACAAGATCTGCAGACATAATTGTCTCTACTGAAGCAGAAAATCAGGCATAGCTATGGCACTGTTGACTCGGCTATATGAGTCAAAAGGGGATGAAGATACTTCATTCAAAGGGAAAGCTGCAAGAGTTAAAAAATATTGATCTAGACCTTTGTGAAAGCTGTGTTATTGGAAAATAAAAGAAGCTTAATTTCTTAAAGGTTGGTAGGACTTTAAGACCAAGAAAGCTAGAACTGGTACACACAGATTTATAGGAACTGACTCTAGTAGCATCTCTTAGAGGTTCTTAGTATTATGTGACTTTCATTGATGTTTTAACAGGAAGGTGTGGGTCTACTTTATGAAAATAAATCTAATGTGTTTGAAACATTCAAAAAATGAAAGGCTATAGTTAAGACCGAATTAGGTTTGAAGTTAAAATGCTTAAGATCTGATAATGAAGGAGAATACATTGATGGAGGTTTCAAAGAATATTGCGCTGTTAAAGGTATCAGAATGAAAAAGACCATTCCAGGCACACCACAACAAAATGACATTGCTAAACAGATGAACAAGACCATCAATGAATGAGCTAGAAGTATGAGGTTGCATTCTGGGTTACCTCAAACATTTTGGGCTGATGCAGTTCATACTGCAATTTACTTGATCGACCATAGACCATCAGTTCCTTTGAAGTTCAGACTGCCCAAGGAAGTATGGAGAGGAAAAGAAGTATAACTCTCTCATTTAAAAGTCTTTGGGTGTGTTTCCTATGTGCATATAGATTATGATGCTCGCAACAAGCTAGATGCTAAATCTAAGAAATGTTTCTTCATTGCCTATGGGGATGAAGAATTTAGATTTTGGTTTTGGGTTGATCAGAACAGAAAGATTATCAAAAGTAGAAACATGATCTTCAATGAGAAAGTTTTCATTAGATTAGAAGGTCTTCCTGATGTTACTGAGCAGAACAAAACTCAAAAGTCTTTACAAGAAGATTCAAGCACATCTGTACCCACTACTATACAAGAAGATGAGGAGCCAAGTGAACCAACGGTTTATGTTTGCAGGTCTTCAAGGATTGTCAAGCCTCCACAACGGTTCACACTTCTACTGAATTATATTTTGCTGACAGACGGTGGTGAACCATTGACTTATGAAGAATCCTTATAAGACAAAAACTCGAACAAGTGGGAGTTAGCCATAAAAGACGAGATGGAGTCATTGTTGAAGAACAAGACTTGGGAGCTAACC